CCTAAAATCTACCAATAAACTTAATGAATTAAAAAAAATTCTTAAATCCATAAATTAGCTCACTTGATAAAGTAAACCTGATATTATGATATACAATAGACTTAGCCCCTGTCTTTCTCCTGTAAAATAGGCTATCTTTTTACCTGTGAAATGAGCCATTATCTTTCTACTTCTGGGTGGGTCCTTGCTTTTCTCCTGCAAACCAAGCCCAAAGTGTCTGTAGATTCATAAATTCCACAGACTTCTAACTCCCCAAATACATAAATATTCCAGCTCCAAATTATAAAGTGCCTCTGTCTTGAGGCCCCACAGTCTATGAGTGTGAGTATTTAAAATTTCAACCTAAGAAAGACCTTTTAAAAATATTAATTGAATCACCAATGGAATCATCCAGGGACCTTGTTAAAATGCAAGGTAATGCCGGGATTTAGCTCAGTGGTTTCCTGCCTGCCGAACAAGTGCAAGGACCTGAGTTAGATCCCTGGTACCAAAAAACAAAACAAAATAAAACAAAAAAATGCAAGGTATGAGTGCTGAGATTTTGCATTTCTAACGAGACCCAAGAGATGCTTCTGATGTTCTGATCTACTGTGTATTTTATTCTACCTCCTCTCCATCCCTTCTGACTTCACCTACCTCATAGATAACACCTTGAATATAATATATCAGTTGACATGGCCAACACCTTTCCTTTCTTCTTGAGCAGTCCACTTGCAGGGCTTTGGGAACTGTTCTGGGCATGTGTCCTAGAATGTTTCAATTAACAGTTCACACCTACTACCCCACCCAATCTGCCATGCCCTAATCTCCTGCCTCATTTCCAGCTTGTAAGGCTTGAGGCCATGAAAGAACAGGCTCAAATTCTTAGGTGACATCACAAAATTCTGATTCAGTGGGACCTTTCATAAAGTTCCATTGTTAGCATAGTCTTTTCTTTCTTCTTTTATTCATCATTTCCTCTTCACTTCTTTATCCTTTATTGAGACAAATACATAAGGGTCTTGAAGCCATCTTTGATATCTTAGCAGAGAAATTTTCATCTAAGAAGACTTAGAGGTTATATACATGTTATTATAGGAGTTTCATTGAAAGGATCTTTTCTACTCCTTGTTTTTATATATGTGTGACTTTGGTTTTCCTATTTAAAGATTTCCCATATGTTTTTAAGCCATCTACTTCAGTTTCACTTCTATTCCTACTATACAGCTTATCAAGTAGAATTAAAGTTTAATGCTGTTTTGAGTACCTTAAAGCTAAACATCAGTTTAGTGATTGGCAAGAATCCAGAAAAATCCAGCTACTGTTTCCTTCTACATTTGTGTTATTTGAACAAAAATCTGTCTAGTTAAAAAAAAAATCTATCCTCAAAAATAATCACCTAGCCTTTAATAAAATATATTTTGTATGAATCAAACAGTGGTTATTGTCCATTTTAAGCAATTTTAAAATTCAAAGTTGATAATTCACAGTTGGAATTAAAAAGTCCTACATCAGAATGCTGCTAGAGACCTTGCGCTTGTGAGGCAGGTGGCAGAACCACTGAGCTAAATCCCCAGTCCCAGGAAAACTTTTAAATACATTCAGTTCACTCAAGCTATTTCTTGGAAATTTAAGGTTTATTTCATAGTTCAAGCACAAATACTACCTAGGGCTTTTTCTAGTTCCTTACTCTTTTTTGGCCCTGAGAGGCAGAGGTAGTTTGAACAGAAAGAGGATTTAACATAGGTGAGGGCTAAGATAGGTAATGAGAAAGGAGAATCCATCTGAATCTCCAATTGGGGTTTTGTTGGCATACTTATTATATTTCTATTCTCATGAATGTCGCATGATGTTGACTCTCAGGATGGCAGGTTAAGGTGGGGAAAATTGCCCATCTGGACCATAGCTTCCTGGTGTGAATGATCTTTCTTTCTCACCATCTAATTCATTCCTGGCTTTGTAAAATGTACTGTGCCCAAAACACAAGGCTCTTAACATCTGGCCTGGGTGATGTCCTGACAAAGCCAACCATTTCCCTTCTAATCCACTTTCTTACTCTTCCACTTAACCATGTGGGAAACTTCTGTTCCCTTCAGTGCCTAATTATGATCTCCTAAAAGTGGAGTATTGCAAGAAGTAAGAAAGTATCTTTTTCCTTGTTATCATCTTTTTTGTGATTAATAATAGGAATGGCTTCATAACATTGTAAATAGTAAATGAAATAAGGCATACCTTGATTGAGGATTTATAAATTTTCCATTCTAAAAGAAAAATAGTGAAAGAAGAAAATGTATGAATATTCAGGAAAAGTGCATGTTTTCAGCTGCTCTAAATATGCATATCCTAATATTCTGAGATCCCAAATCCTGTAGCCAGTCCCTAACAATCTCATCATGGGAGTGGTTGTCAACATTTCATAGAATCCCCCAAGCAACAGGCAGTATATTGCTAATTTCCTCACTTTTCATATGTTGATTAATGATTTGGTCACTTATGCAATTAAGATTTATGTGAGCACTCCCGGGATATTTTTTGAAGAGGAGAGTGTTTAATACACCATACCCGACAAAGTGGACATTGGACAGTTCCTCAGGAGTTTTCTTTCTTCTTTGGAGAATAAAACAAGGATATATATGAACATTATATTATATGGACAGAATCAACATAATTTTTCCCTGCAATTTTCCATATGTTGCTATAAATGCCTTCTGATTAGTAGTCAGGAAAGACTATTTAATAATAGAAGCAAAGCCCTAGAATGAAAATTAATTTTCAGAGCTATATGACAGATGTAATCCTTGTTTTTTTATTTCTTTAGAATATAATCAATTCTACTTCTAGCTTAAGAAATTAAGTTTTCTAAACTAAATATTTCCTTTGGGCATTAAATCACCAGAGAATTTGATGACTTTAAAAACTAGTAACCAGTTGTTTTGTAGGGAAACCTTTTCAAATTTGGGTTATTTTGATAAAGGCATTTCATCTAATTGATTCTCTTTGATCCTTATCTACTTTATGAATTAAATGTCGGTAAAGATGAACATTAATATTAGCTGTACTTTCCATGCTAGACATCTATTGGTTGATCTTGCTTCAAAGTAACTTACTTCTTTGTAGTATTAAGTTACTCTAATTTCCTACCTCCATGCCTTTTATTTTCCTCTGGAGGAAACCTTGCAGGGCATGACCTAATGAATTCTGGTTCAGATTTCCGAATGAATCTGAACCAAAGTGATTCTGTAATTTGGTGGAGGGAACCTTCATTAAATACCCTAGTGAGGGGAATTTTACTGTTTCATAGCAGACTAAAGTACTTTTCTTGACATACTGAAATTGAACTTTAACATTTATGGGAATATAAATTGCAGCGGCACGTTGTAACGTGTCATAGGTCCAGCAGAGCCTTAGGTCAAGGGTTTTTACTTTCTTTAAAACCTCCACTTAAAATAGCAGTGTTTCTAATTATTTCACCTTTAAAAATTAGAAGAATATGTCCTATTCTCCAGGGATTTTATCTACAGTTATTCCTATAATTTGTATGGTTGCATCGGGTATGGCTTTATAGTTTTTATTTGGCTTGACAAAAGTGCAAATTCAGTTTCATAGGTACGGCTACTTAGCCTTCCCTTTCAAAACCTGGATGTAGTTTTCTAATTGAGAAAGTTAAATTTTTTTGTTTTCTCATCCTAATTCCTGACCTCTCAGTTATCTTGTCTCAGAAAACACTACCCCATTCTAAATACAGGCCATGCCGCCATTTACTATTATTGTCACATGCGAGTTATGGTGTAGAATCAAAAAATAAAGTTAGCGTTTTCCTATAGCATTTATTCTGAGCCCTTCAAATATGGTTACTAGATTCCAGTCTGACCTATAAGAGCTTCTTCAATCTTAATATCTGCTCTCTTTGAAGGCCCTCTGATGTAGCACAGAATAATAATTAAAAACAACAACAACTGTGTTTTGAGGGTTAAATTACTAGGCTTCAACACAACCTGACATTTGATTTCTTCTGCTAACAAGTAGGCTGAACCTAACCTAAGTCTTTGCTGGGAGTTGCAAGAGTAGGCAGTGAACAAAGGCATCTGTGAAACTCAGTGTGCATCTTATTTGCATAAGTCAGCTGTGCCATGCATGAAGTTTGGTGCTAAGCAAGAAAACTGACTCTGGACTTTGAAGGCAGTGGAAACTGAAGAATTCCCTGTGGGCTGGAAGGCTTGAATCCGCAGGAAAGAAGGCAGCCCAGTGGCCAAGGAGTGAAATAGACTCTAGCAATTCTTCATAGCTCAAGTCTGACCAGGACATAGCCCCATTCCTTCCACTGTTTGAATAGATTCTGGTCATCCTTTCATCTGTCACTCAGGAATTAAAATTCCAGGTGAGAACATTCACTCACCTAAGATTGGGTCATGTGCCCACTCTGGTGGCCAGAGACCTGGGAGAAAAATTGGCCTTTTGTTTTTTCTTTACACTGCACAAAATTGAAAGTTTCTCCTCAATCAGAAAAAGTGACTGTGTAGATAGAACTGAATTTTAAAACCCTGCATATTTCATTATTTTTATTAAAAAGTCACAATTACATACTCATTTTGATAACTTATGTTAAAATTAAGGTTTTTCTGTCATTATCATGTTGAAACTGGAGAATCTCAATATATTATATGGATTAGCTTAGAAAAGGAAATGAACTTTTTTTTTTTGGTACCGGAGATCGAACTCGAGTCCTTGCGCGTGCAAGGCAGGCAGTGAAACCACTGAGCTAAATCTCTGGCCCCAAGAACTTTTCTAATTGCTAATATATAAGTTTAAAATACTAATGCCTACTGAATAGAATTATGTTGAGACACTATTTCTATTCTTTATATAAATTTATTGTAAACACTCAGGCTTCCATATAGGGAACTTACTGTTTAATTGATATGATTGTACATTGTTAAAGTTAGTATTATTTCGTGGCATGATGTTTTATTTACCCATTCTAAAATAAATGATACAGTTTTTTTATTATTATTCTTCAACAGACAGGCTAGCCTCAATGAAGAAGCCGAAAAGTATTACGATCTGGCAGCCAGACTCAGGCCTAATGTAAGTACTTTCCTAATGAGCAGCATTATTCAGAGGGAAGGTCTGAACGCACATAATAGTGTTAGGATATAGATATGTCATGGTACTGGATTTTTTTCCTCTAGCCTCTTATTTTGAATACCCACTATGCAGTTAATTCAACAATAAAGTCTACCAGTTGCAACCCCCTCCCCCTAGGTAAAGCTGCTATTTTCTAACTGGTGTAAAGCACTGTGAATTTTTATCATTTGAACTGCAGCTTTTAGTACTTAGTATCTAACTTTGCATTTGGATGACTTTTAAACTTCCTTGAAAGTTTTTTGTTTTTGTTTTTTGCTGTGGTATTAAATACCTATTATTGTTTGGTTATCACATATAGTTAAACTTTGAGCTGTGGACCTTTATCCTGTTTGTAATACCCATTTCTAATAGCTGGTTTTTCAACTGCATCACTCATGTTTTCCTTGTAAGTTTTCCCTGGGTAGTCACACTCTTACAAAGTCAGATGATGTAAATTAGATCATTACATTTGAAGTGGAACAACTGAGAAAATGTTTTTGTTTCTGTCTTTCAACCATTGTATTTGCAGCACCCCTGAATTCCAGTGCATTGCTTTTATTTTTGTCCACATTCTATCGCACTGTCCTGTACTAAAATGTTTCTTCTACATTGCTCTCCAGATCTGAACCATACATTGAGAAATGTAATTTTGAAACAGTAATGAAAATGCATGTGTGAACTGAATACAAATAATGGGATCAGTCTCATTTCTTTATAGTACCTCATCCATCGGGCAAACATTTGTAGAGTGCTTGTTTCCTGATAGGTTACAGAGATTTCATAGCCTAAAAGGCCACACAGTGTAGTGGAGAAGACTGAACATAATCAACTAATTGAAATGCAGTGTGGTAATTCCTTTAGAGGTATATACAGTTTTCCGAGAAAACAAAAATGGAATTAGTGCTCTCTGAAACAGACCTACAAGGAAACTTTTTAAAATTCTTTTTCGTTTTTTTCTTTCTTCTTTTATTTTTATGTGCGTGGGGGGCTAATATTTTTCTTATATGTCACAAAGTTCATGGCTGACACCTATAGCAAAAACAGATTAACAGAACAAAATCATACAAGTTTCAGATGACAAGGGAGCCTTCAAAAATGAAAAGCCAAAGGAAACTATGGGAAACCTATATATTTTTATGTCCGATTATGCAGAGATATGATTAGAAAACGAAAGAGGCCGATGTAGTGTTAATAAATTGGGAGAGACATGACAAGGCCTATTTGCTCAGATTTTTCTCCATATCTTTTGTCTTCAGAGATAAAGATATTAACGAGGGTCTTCTGACCTTGTTCGGGGAAGAAGTGGGAGAGATCACCGAGTGCCAGTCCTGCTTCTCTGGTTTTCTCAGTTTTCTTTAGCTTAAAATACCAAGTATTAAAAGATGGCATATTTTGTAATGACTACTCTGAACCCATTCACATTAATTATGAGTTGCTTCAAGAATTGATGAGCTGTTTATATCAAAAGAACATGATAATCCTAATGGTAAAGACAATGACAGCTCAAATCCATCGAATGCTTACGTGTCAAGCACTTTTCTAGGTAGTAAATGTGAATTCTTTCATTTCTCCCAACAGCCCACATATACCTGTGTGATCTCCATTGTGCGGTCAGCGAAGTTAATAATTCACTCAGTGTCACAGCTGTTTGTAATCACATTTTCATTTAGGCCACTATGTACATGAGAGGAAGCTTGATGGAAAAAAAAATGGGCATGTTTTAAAGGGGAAATGCAGGTCAGAAATCTGGAAAACCAAAATAATTATAGTCATCTCATTTATTGATCTGGTAAATATTTATTGACTACTAGGCACTATTCCAGCCACTGGCCATACAGAACTGAACGAAATGGACAGCAGTGCCTGCCTGCCTGCCTGTTAGGAGCTAACGGTTTGGTCAGGAAAGAGTGAGCCTAAGCAAATAACTGAAGTATGGAGCACGTCAGATAATAGAGATAAGTACTTTGGAGAAAAATAAAGTAATACCAAGAAGTTAGCAAGTGCAAGAAGCATAGCCTTGTAAATGCCTGAGCTGAGTGCCTTTGTGCCGTATTTCAAAGGAAAGGGTTGAATTTGAAGACTTAACTGTGTTACTGTATTTCATTGAAGACAGAGATTGGGGATTTTATTCTTTCTTTTTTGGTCCCTTTACACTGATCAGTATAATGCTCTAAATATAAGTAATACATAATGATTATGTTCAACCTTAATTCATTGAGCACCAGTCTTGTGTGTTACTTTCATGTTTGTTAAGTGGTTGGTCAGATGGTGATCTTCCATGCAATGTAAAGGAATAGTGAGGAAGCTATCTGAGTTACCTGACTTACGCTAAAAATAGAAAAGACACTCAGGTGCTACAAGGTTCAAATTTGACTTAGGGGAATGTTTATTTTAAATGACAAGTCAAATCATAAAATCAATTTGTAATCTCCAATTCAAAGCCATTTTTTCTTCTGGAACCCCAAAATATTTGTTCATAAATATGCTTTAAACTACAGCTTTTGAAAATAATTTACTCAAATAATACTTTCCTTGTCCAGTAACAATAAATTATCTTACAGACTTAGAATAAAGAGTTCATATTTTACAATAGGTAAATGAAGTTACAATTTGTGGATCAACAGATGTGATTTTTTCCCTACTTGTTTTGGGATTATGTTTTGATTTGCAGATAAGTGAGGTACCTAGGTAAGTAAGGTACCACTGAGGCAAGGTGAAAATACAAGCCATGATAATAAATTTTTATTCTGAAAGAAAGAGGTCTGTTTGAACAAAACCCTGTTGCGAACTACACATTTAGTCCAAAATAAATCATCCACTTAATGTTTTATCTTGCTGCTTATTCCTTTTGTTCAGAAAACATTCTTTGTTATTTCCATGCTCTAAATGAATAAATTTCAGTTATTTGCTTAAGGAAAAACATAGCAAATGGACCTCAGTTCTCATATTCTATTTAAATAGTTTCATAGCTATTTTTATTTTTCACATGTATACAATAATCTAATCTTACTCTTATTCTCATAAAACATTTTCTTCCATTGATTAAACATCCCTGCATCTGTAATGATCAAAAGCTGCATGCGAGGGACTCCAAGAATCTTTTAGCAACACTTATGTCAGAAGTGACGTGGAAAGTAAACTGTGTAGCTATAGTGCCTGTGTCCTGTCTGTTATTGCCATCAGATTAAGAAAGACTGGGTATCATCTGCGGAATATGGTTCTCACTTAATAAAACACTGATTCCATAATACATGGCTTTTTTATTTCGATACAACAGAAGCCATATTGATCTACATAATGTACTTTGAAATTGTTCATTGACATTTTCAATTATTTTATATACAAAGAATTCCAGTGATCTCATGTTAAAATAGAAGAAGTCTAAATTATTAGGCACAAACTCAGCTTTTGATTCTCATGCCATCCCTTCCTCAAGATGTTCAGTATGTCATCATTTACTGAACCACACAGTTGTGTTTTGATTTTCAGTATGTAGTCTAGGTGTACTTATTTTAAAAATGGCACATAACAATTTCAAATCTTATTTAGTTGACTTCGGGGATGATTGCTTTAAAATTAGGTCTCCTATTGTATTAAAATGTATTTCTATAATAGGAAAACCTTACAAAATTGCATTTCAATTTTTTTGAGTTTTAGTTTTCCATTTGTATAGGTAAATTGATCTTTCTGTGGTGGTTATTTTAAAAAGATAACAGTCTTCTCCATCTTCAACCTCATTCACACACATCAAAATTGCTGACTAGAGGGAGCATTTAAATGAAATTGCTTTGTTCTTCCTGTGGGAATTAAGCCAAATTCTGCATCAAGTTATGGGTTCAAAAATTCTTTTTAAATGTGAAGAATAAACATGTATTTATTGTATTGCATTGTAATGTATTGTACAAAGTCACCTACTTTAACTTTTTATCAATTCTGGAGTCAAGAAGGCAAGCACATAAGTACCAGTGATCTGATCTTGTATTCTTCTGAATATAATTGTTTTTAGCCTGACCTCATTCAACTTATTCTTTTTATCTAGTTCCATATATGACTCTATGCCAAGTGTAGTAGGATTTTAAGGTTATAAAAAGTTAACTCTGACCTTGAAAAATGTACATTTGATATGGGCAAGGATAGAAAGAAAGAACATTTGAATCTTAATCTTCACATGTCAGGGCAGTAAAGAAGGTTATCTAATCAGGGCTTTTCAAGAGGTATAAGCTAGGGGCTAGCAAAATGCATAGGAGAAATTACATTCCGCTGGATTGATGTGACAAAGCATTGAGTCAGAGTTGGCAAGTTTAGAAATGCTTGAAGTGATGAATGTTTATAGGTGAAGATTATAGCAAAAAGAAGAGAAAGGAAAGAACTCTGGCAGGTAGATGCGCAGGCATAAATAAGAACAAAGGGAAGAAAAGAGGAAGATAGAACGAAACATAAAACCAGGTGAAAGACATTTAATATCACACTAAGGGTGGGATTTTGTATTCCAGGATTTTCTGAAGCAGGATGATGTAATGAAAGCAGTAATTTAGGATGGCCATTTATATGATACAGGGAAAAATGCATATTGTGTTCTGGGAAGTAGAGTTGGGAGACAGAGCATCAGGATAATGAAATAATAAGTCATTGTAGCAGCATAGGTGTAATACAGTAGAGACTAAAGTACAAGAACATAAAGTGGTGGCAAGGAACACACAGTAAAATAAGCAGATTATTTCATAGGATGTGAGAAAGAAAGTTAGTTGGCCAAAATGACTGTTCCAAATTTTTAAATTTAGGTAACTTGGAAAAAGAATACTGAGCAGTAGGGTGCTCAGAAGAGAATGTTTATTTCAAGAGTAAAACCTTAAGTTTGAATTTAGCAAATTCCGAGAAATAGAACATTCTAATTTTTTTATGGGACATTCCTGTCAAGCAAGGCATTGGGAGAAAGTCTATAGTTAGGAATAAAGATGTAG